ACACTGTATTACTGAAACCTTGAACATGCACCTCCTGCATTTGCAATTATCCGTAACTGCTGGGATGTTGTTGTCTTTGTTGTTTTCTGGGAGAGCTCATTAGGTGATGAAAGACAGCCTGGTCTCTGAGAGTAGTCTATCACTCAGAGGTACATGGGGCCTGATCCCACCGATCAGGCATATATAGGACTAGGAAGAGAGCAGGGAAAACTGCTTCAGAGGAAGCAAGTTTTGCTATGTTGTTACTGCTCGCCCCCCAAAAGCATACTTTTTATTATCTCCAGCAAATTAGCTAATGTGACAGACAACTTTATTTTTCAGTTGAGTGTTCGTGGGAAAAATAAGAAAGAGAAGCTTGAAGACTTCTTTAAAAACATGGTTAAGTCAGCAGATGGAGTCATTGTTTCCGGAGTAAAGGTGATTATCATTTAGTCTTTCAAAACTAAAAATTTGATGTTGTTGTGTCTCTTTTTTGTTTTTAATGTAAATGTAAATAAATGTAAATCACCTATTTAAATCTATCTAGCATAGTTCCATCTGAATATTTTTAAGAAACGTGAAGAAATCTTCTTTACCTAGCACAGGTTGCACCCAGACACTGTGCAGTCTCCGTCCTTGGAGATACTCGGAAGCTGTTTGGGCACTGGGATGGGCAATGTGCTCTGGGTGTCCCTGCTTGAGCAGGAGGGGTGGACTAGCTGATCTCCCGAGGTCCCTTCCAGCTTCAACCGTTCTGTGATTTGCACAATTTGTGGATCTTTCCCCAACCCTTATTTTGCTTTTAGTTAGATGTCCTATTACTAAGTAGCTAATACTTCTCCTATTTTTTTTCTGTCACAAAAGTGATATTTGCTAATGAACTTTATTCCCTTCATTTCAGGTTTAGTGACATACACCTCTAGGATACTTCTTAGAGTGTGTAATATAAATCTGCAAATAAGCGAAGAAGAAATCAATATGTTAATATTATTTTATAAGACATAGATTGCGTTTCATGTTACAGCAACTGCAATACTTTCAAATTCATTTATATAAATTGGACTGAAAAGAGTGAATTAAAACTTCTTTTTGAAAATGTTTTTGTAGGACGTGGATGATTTCTTTGAACATGAAAGAACATTCCTTGTAGAATACCACAACCGAGTCAAAGATGCCTCTGCCAAATCTGATAAAATGACAAGATCACACAAAAGTGAGTTCTTTTTCCAAGATGAAAACAGTATTAGCTAGAATGTAGAGAAGTGCCTGTTGAAATTCTGTTTGGAGAAGTATAGCAATGACCTGGGAAGCTGGTTTTTGAAACTGGTGATCTGTGGTTTATGGATAACTTAGTCATGACCTACAGAGAGATGCAGTATTTGCAAAGATACTGACTTCCTATTTGCGGCAGAAAATCAATTTTTACATTTGGGAGAGGTAAGTAAAGGGAACTCCCTAATGCTGCTATTAGTTGCAAGCAGTTGTATTAATTTCATAATGATATTATGAAATAATGAATCAGAAGGAAAGTAACACACTACCTTAAAAATAAAACATAATTTAAAAAGTGACACTCTGATACAATAGAATTCATTTTAAACAACCTTGTTTTAACATATAATTAGTTCTGACTTTGTACATTAAAAAAAAAAGGGATGATGTAACAATGTTGCACAATAAACTTCACCTAGCACCTATTAAGTGTATTAAATATCCTTAGACAAATTACATACTTAATTTTCCCATCCTTCACACAGGGAGAGCTGTGCTTAGGATGTGAAGTAATATAAGACATAATTTAAATTTTAGTTCATTTTTTGCATTAGACCTTGGTACCTTCTAGAAAAATGCATGCTCTTGAAAAAATAGAGGAACTGATGCTCTTCAAAACTTGCACAAAGGAGAGAGATGAGGTATTAAAACAAGTATTTGTTTTTTCTTCTAGATGTAGCAGATGACTATAACAGAATTGGTTCCTCATTATATGCATTAGGAACACAGGACTCTACAGATATATGCAAGTAAGATTTTGTTATTCATTCATGTGAAGTTTGTTAAGTAGCAGTCTTTGAATAGTGGCTAATATCCCTTTAGTTATAATAAGAACAGAATTTATCATAATTGAATACAATTAGAGATTTTCTACAGAGATTCCAAAACTTTGAAAACAGGGTCTTTGCATATAGACATTTGTCCTTTAATCTTTAAACTTGAATATGAGGCATTTCAGTACCTGAAAGTGAAACTTAACTAGCTTCAAAATCTTAGTTGATGCTTATGAATGTCTGCTCTTTAACTGGAGCTAGTGTTACAATGGGAGATGTCTGTGCAAGTAGCTTCTGTCAGTTTACATGTGTCATAGTGTTATCCTTGCAAGTGTTCCCATAGTATCCATGGCGGTTACTTCATCCATAATAGCGAAATTTGAGAGATATGAGAGTCTGTGAGAGTCTGAGTCATATATCCTGTTTATCCTCTTTCAAAATAAAATGATTTTACTGTAATTGACTCTGCTGATATATTGAACCTTATGTCACCTGGATTTTCTCCTGTGGTGATGATGTGCTACACTTGCTTAAACTGCCTGAATTACAAAATTTCAAGTAGGGCGTATGTCTTACTACATGAAGAAAAGTGCATGGAAACTCGAGTGAAGGAAGCTTGGTAACATATAGGCCTGGTTCAGAGTTTATTTTTTTGCAAGCATAGTCCTTGAGCTGTTTAGTTATTCTTTAGTAAAAACCATCCACTATACTTTTTGTCTTATACTTCTTAAATTGCACGAATCCCAAATTTCTGAAGCACTGCAATTTGAAACTATTGCGTACTCAGAACTCTGTAAATTATAATTCTAAAGAATTCCTTTAAAGCCTTTATTGTCAGCCATAGGCTATTGTTTGACTTCTAAATTGAAGTAATTAGACTTTTCAAATTTATATTGTAATATAACCTAAATCCCATTAAAGCTGTTGATATTTCTTTCATGCAGATTTTTCCTGAAGGTATCAGAATTATTTGACAAAACAAGGGTATGTATTATGAAACCTTCTTAGATATGTTCTTTGTGTACCTCCTGGAAGTGCTGGTGTTAATTAGACATTAATATATGACTGTTTTAAGGATGCTTCCATATTGAGTTTATAAATTTATAGAACTGTCACTTTAAATACAAACAAGCAAGTTTCTTGGGAGTTGGTATTTGGGTCTATTTAATACAGTGCAGCAATTACACAACTACTCTTCAAAGAGGTCTTGGAGAAAAATGTGTTTCCTTTGGTCTCAAAAAAACAACAAAAAACTACTTGTGTCATTCTCTTATACTAATTCTTTGTTTCCCTGCAGTTTTCATAGTGCAGGATGCACATCATTGAAAACTAGAGGAAAGCTTTATTCTTTAAAATAAAGCTAGCTTTTATGTACTACTTGCACACTGGGCTATTGCTTAAATCTTAATATGAAATGCTAGTGCCATTTTTTTGTGATCTCTCCTTAAGTATTCTGTCACAAGCCCATGACCTTAATTTTTGAGAAAGATAATCTGTCATGCACTATTGCCTATCTTATCCTCTATTTACATCATACAAGTGAGTATTCGAAGTCTGAATATTTTTAATTTGATATTTTTACATACTATTTTTTTCCAGAAAATAGAGGCCCGAGTGTCTGCTGATGAAGATCTTAAACTTTCTGATCTTCTCAAATACTACTTAAGGGAATCTCAAGCTGCTAAGGTGAATCTATATTTTTGTTCAGTATTCAGAAATACTATAAGTAGTATTTCATGAGAAATACTAAGTGGGTAAGTTAAGATGCTGCAACTTCTGGCCTGCTATTTCTCCCTCAACTGTAAAAACTACATCTCTACTGTTAAGTTGTAGCAACACCATTACTTAGGACTGCAGGATCCATTTGGATCTTTTACCAAATCTTGCAGTGAAATTAAAAATAGTGGAAGAGCTTTTGATGCTTGTAAACGGCAAGCATTTCTACTATTAACATTAAAAATGGATACTTTATTTCATCAGCTCTGCAAGAGCTGATACAAAAATGGGGGTTAAACTTTAGATCATTTACCTATAGTAAATTTCATTCTTAAGATGTTGCTTGAGTGAAAATGATTGATTGAAAATGATTGATTGACAAGAATGTTTTGTACTTGGAAGATCATAGAAAAGACTATGTTGTTTCTAATCGCTGTGTGTATTTCAAATCCATAATCTAAATAGTAATTTGTTTCTAACCTGAGAAGCTATGAAACTTCCTATGATGATTCTTAGGTTTCTTTGCAGCATCATCCATGCTGTCTGATGCTGGCCTCTGTCAGACAAAGAATATTAAATATGATGCAGACTAAAGAATATTAAATTGCTTGTCTTATCCAGGATGGAGATTTCTGTGACTTGCATGTGATGAGAATAATTCTGTAATAACTGAAATATAATAAAACAAAAAATTATTTCATGAAGAAAGACTAAAACTAATCTGATTGTTTTGGATTATGTGTTACATACTAGAATGCATTTTTGATAGATATATATATCCTTCACACTTCATTTTATTTTCTTAATAGGATCTCCTATATAGAAGATCTAGGTCACTAGTGGATTATGAAAACGCTAATAAGGCATTGGATAAAGCAAGAGCAAAAAATAAAGATGTGTTGCAGGCTGAAACCACTCAACAGATATGCTGTCAGAAATTTGAGAAAATATCTGAATCGGCAAAACAAGGTATTGAGTAATCTCTTATTGTATATTAACATTTGAAAATTAACAGATTTGACAGTATTAGTGTGAGATTTTTGTTCTGTGATTCCTAAGTAGAGAGCTGTTACCTTATAATCAGTACTTGCTTATTTTGGAAAGTTTATACGGTGTTTTCCTTTGGATCCCGACAGCTCCAATACTATGAATGTCATAATTTCTTGGCTGGATTCCCTCAATGTCTAGATGCAGATTATTTGTTACCACTTCTTTAGGTACAGAGAAAGGAAAATTCTGAGCAATAAAGTCAAACCTAATCTTTTTCAAGTAGCATTGAAATACCCTTCTGATTTTATGCATTATTCTGTGAGGATAGCAGTCCATAGCAAAACGATACTAGATCAGAAGAGGGAGAAATCATGAAATGCGATTTCACTGAAGATGCAGATTTATAGTAGCTCTGGAGAAGAGGAACCTGGTTTCTTCCCTGGAAACTTACATGTCTTCTTTAGGTTAAGGTCGTTGTGAGTACGCAGACATCTGACTCATTATTTGAGGCAGATTAGTACAAGGTTTAATCACCACCTTTTTCTGTCTTTATCAGTTAACAGAATTCTCCCTTGTAAATCTGGCTAATGATTTCTGTAAGTGAGACAGTGGAGGATCAAAGATCCTGTTAGCCACAGAGGTGAATGGTAAAACATGCTTACTTTCCCTGTTCTTCATACTAGTCACAGCATGGTAGCTTCCTTATAGTTTATCATGTACCAGCCTTGAAAGAAAAGTGCATACAGTAGAGGAGAATTTAATGTTAAAATGATCCACACTGTGGTCTTGTTTCAAAAGAGCTTTGTGTTCACAAGAAAATGGGTAGAGTTGAGGAGTTGCAGTGATCTTTTACTTCTTTATTTAACAGTGCATCAATATATATGAGCTCCCAGTGGGCTGAGATTAAACTTGATTTTTTTGTATTACCTCCTGTCACCCTTTACCCCTTCCATCCTGAAAGAAAGTCTGTTAACAGTTGAGGGCAATAACAATGATACTGTTAATGAATATATTTTTTTTATTATTTTATACAGAACTGATAGACTTTAAGACAAGAAGAGTTGCAGCATTCCGAAAAAATCTAGTGGAACTAGCAGAACTGGAATTAAAGCATGCTAAGGTAATTGTGGTCCTTTCTGGCCTGTAGTTCAACTGCTTTTTCAATATTATATGCTGGAATAGCCAAATAGTTTTGTATGATATACACTTCACTTCCAGAAAGGGGAAGCTTGAGGGTAAGCAACCTAAAGAAAGGTGAGTTTTTATCTTCAACTCTCTTGAATAATAGAGTATGAGTGTGAGTGAAAAAGCTCTGTGGGACTAGTATGTTTGAAGTGCCTTTGAAAAGCTCATTTTGAAGACAATTTTCACTACAGTTTTATGTTTGTCTAGCTATCTTAGTGCTTCAAAGTTTGAATATCTCCCTATTTTAATATCTTGCCATTTTACTGGGAGATAGAAAGTGGTTTCTGTTATCCAGATGCTGGAGGCCTGATGTATAGGATAGGCTATACTTATGAAACAGTTAAGGACAAGATCACACAGAGAGAGAGAGCCTGTAGGAAGTCAGGAACTAAAGCCAGAAAATTGGGAGCAATTCTTGATTTGACTGGGCTGAGTAGAGTCAGAAGAAGCAAAAAGAACTTTTTCATGGGGGCAAGAAAATCATCAAGCAAGACCAAAAGCCCCCCACTTTAATATTCTGGACATAATGCTCTGGCTGTTGCTGCTGTAACCCTTGTTGTCTTGTTTTTACAGCCACTGAAGGCATTTTAAATGTTAAATATTAAAAATGTTAAGTATTAAATCTCAGCTTCAAACTGAGAATTGTTTGGCTTGGACTATCATGTAAAGTGCAGCACTCCCAAACCTGCCAGTATGATCTGTTATTCAGCTTTATATGCTTTCTCCAGTAAAAAAATAAATAAATAAAATAAAATAAAAGGCAGTATTTAAAGAGAAGAGACAAGGGGAGTTGGGGAGTTGTTTGTTGCCCTTTTTATCACTGTATGTGTTTGTTGTTTGTTTTGTCTTTTTTGCTGGAAGGAGTCCCCATATCAAAAAAGTAAGAGCAACGGAAGTACTCAGCATTGGTTTGGAGAAGTGGCTGCTGTTTCCTGAGCTGCCTCTGGCAGTGGGGCTGCTAATAAGCAGTCATTGCTTGAGACGGATGTGAAAGTCAGGCTTTTACTAAAGCAAGGACACTGTATATGCAGATATTAAGCATGGTGACTGTGCTGGATATCTTACTAGGCTCTAACTAAAAATCAGACTGTGTTTTGAGAATAGTTTTAAATTGATGAAAGTTCAAACTACTGTTAAGGCTAGTGATGCAAGACTGTCTTTTCCCCTTGGGCTGGCACTGTTACGTGTGCAGCTGTGCATTAAGGTGGAGGTAAAAGCTGTTGTGTGGGGTTTTCTGCTGCTTATTTTTAATAAGTTTATTTTAGATTAGGTAAAGGTATTCATTAATATATACACTTCCTTCTGCCCTACAAAACAGAGTAATGTTTAGTGTTAGAAGTATTCTTAGAGCCTTGACTATGCTTGTAGAGTGGTTTGATGCTTGACATATGAAATTGTAACTAAATATGACAGCAATCTCTATCCAAAAATGTAAACATGATTTTTCTACAAATACTAATATAAGCTCTTGCCTCTGAGTTCTAGTGGACGAAGAATTTGCTGCCTTACTGGTAACAAATTTCTATTTTAAATTAGCAGAAGGGGAGGAACCAAAACCCAAAGCAAGTTGTTTTCATTAAATGCTTTGTCAGTTTACTGACTTTCCTGAAGAAGAAAAAAGAAAAAAAAAAAAAAAGATGTTTTTGCTGACATTATTCTACCATTAACTAGAGTTTAGTAATCTAGGAATTGCGAAGAAACGCTGTTCTGCTAATCGGAAAGTATAGAATGTTCTACAGTTACATTGGAGTAGGCACAAGTATGTCCAACAGAGCAGCCAGAGCCATGGCTCACACCCTCTATTCTCCTTTAGTCTATCATAATTTAAATAAGGTTGTTTCTGAGAGCTATGTAAACTTAATGAAACTGAATCTCTGTAAAATTTCACCTAAAATTTCAGTAGACTGGCTGAGTCTCTAAATGACTACTGTATAAATGACCTCTTCAGTACCCTCTTTTCTTTAGGGTGTTACCTAGTAGCCTGTAAATTGCAAATACACTTCATACTTATAAACTGAAAAGAGGCAGAAGCTCACTGGCACACTTTCATTATAGGTAATACGCATGCACAAGCATACTTCACACTGAGGAAATACTGTGTCTCATAACCTCATTCCTAGCTAGTAATCGGCTGTCACGGTGACGTAGAATTAGATTTAGGAATCCTGTACAGTGCCAAGACGTCTCTATGCATCTTGCATGGAAGAACGTGTTTGTATCATAGAATTAGGAACTCTCTGAGGTAGCTTGTGGCTGCTTTTTTGCTAGTAAAAAAACAATCTGTTCCAGCCTTAATGGAAATAGCAGTCTTTGGGAAGAGACTGAAAATGATTCCGTAGACACATATGCAAACTAGGGAGTCTTTTGTTCCGAAGCCTTTAACTTAGTAAATTGCTTAATTTGGATTGCAAGAATTGTAGTGGGGGATAGCTGTGATTTCTGAACTTTTCTGAGACTGCTGTCCTCACCTCTCTTTACGGACGGTCACTTTCATGTGCTTTCATCTGATACAGTAAGAATTACAAAGCCTTTAATAGTTGTGTAAACTATTTATCAAGAATATGCAAAACATAGCTACAGATACTGTTTAATTACACAAAATTTTATTTGGAGCCACCTTCAGTATTTTTTTTTATATTGAAAGATTTACTAGGTTGAGAGTATTTTCTTGCATTTTATTTTTTGTTCTTTCATTTTATTTAGTTTAACACTCTTAACCTGACATTCTGTTTCTTGCACAGAGATCTCCTATCTGGGAATAAATCCAATAGTTATTTATTAGTGAGTCGCTAGTAGTTTAAAGTGATCTAAGCATAAATGAATGCACAAAATAATGTGAGTATTGTTTGTTCTGGAAAGTAGCACTTGGCTTTCTATATCTAGTTCTTACTTGTGGACTCTATTTGCTTAATTCAGAAGGGTATCTTTATAACCATCAGTTTTTAAAATTTATTCAGAAAACAGAAAGTCAGCCTTTATGCTTTATACTGAATGTTTACCTGTGTTAAATAAGTTATCATTTCCATGCCTTTAAAAAAAGGGTCAGAGCTGCAAACTTAAGTGTGTTTTAGGTAGGAGACTGTGAGTGCTGAGAAAGGGCGACCATTGCTTAAGGAATCCAGTGGTCTTCAGTGTATGAATACTTCTGCTATGCATATAATATTTCAGTGATAGTAGTGCCATTAGTCTATACAAATAGAATGGTGGTTTAACTTCGCCCTTCACTGCTGAAAGAATACTCTTCAATATGTTTTTTCTTGTGTGCTCAGAGTAATAAAATTGTGAAGAAACATGGAAAGGTTAGTAAATGCTTATTTTTGAATCCCAAGTTGTTGGGATTTGTTTTCTTTTTTTTAGTTCCACAACCCAGTGTTACTGTTATCCTTCAGTGGTGAATGTAAAAAGATCTCTTTAAATAGCAGTTGCCAAAAGGGAAAAAGAAAGTAGGGAAACGTAGTCATACTTTTATTTTTTTTTCTTTTTACAGGGTAATTTACAGCTGCTGCAGAGCTGCCTGGCAGTGTTAAATGGCGACACATAAGCAACACTCCGTCCTCCCACTAACAAGGGCTGCTCTCCTCTGGATGTTTGTTTTCGTGACTTTAAATAGGCATTTAAGATTCCCAGGAGAAATCCTTTGGCAAAGTACACATAAGCAAGCTCCTCCTCTTTTCAAAACAATTAAAAAACAAAATCTGAAAGTAGCTCCAGATTATATGAAGCAACAGCATACTTGTTATCCATAAATACTCATGTTTATTTAATCATTCTATGCTTTCATTCTTCAGAAACCAAATGCTCTGTTTGTGTGAAAGTAGCCAATATAATTATGTTCATGTTATGAATAGTATGATATGGCTGCCAATCTTATTTACCTTTGTAAGTAATTTCTGAAGTTGGCATTTGAAATACTGTTCAAATGGACAAAATATTACCATTAGATATTTCAATATTGTCACTATAATGCATTGTATACCCTGTCATAGTTTTCTCCATGTACTGATACCAAGGAATTTAATCTTTTTTTTTTTAATTGTGAACATTTCTTAGAAATTTTGGAGAACTTTGTGTAACCTTTATAACTATCATTTTAAAAAGAAAAGCAAATGCATTAGTATGTTTGCCTTAACTTGTAGACTAATCCAATTATTGTAAAATAAACCATGAAATCGATGATTTTTCTAAAATATATGCACTGTATCATCTGTAAGCTTAATATTTTCTAGTAAATCACATTAATTTTATTAGCATTTTCTCTATTCATCCTGTAAAACCACTGATAAGTACTGGATTGGTCCGACACTAATTACTCGCCCAGTAACTTCTCACTTTCATTCTCAGGTTTAGCCGTTTGCCTATCTGGCGGTCCATGACTTTCCTATCCCGTGTACTTAAATTGTTGTTAGGCCAAAGGCTTGGCTGCCTTTGCAATTTCTTTGGCAGAAATGCTTTTAAGAGAGCTTCTTCATTGCTTTCCAGAAGGCACAGTGGAGTAGCAGAAAGTGTGTGAAACACCAAGGAGAGGTAATATTGCCCTTTCTTTGATTAGAAAGAAGAAGCTGTACTTGAAACAGGAGAAGCTGAAGGTATAGCCCAAAAAAGAATGCCTGAGAAAGATCTCATGCTGCTAACTGGACTTAAAACTTGGAGCTATGATTTTTTTTTAACGTAGTTGAATCCTTTGTCCTTTGTATGTTGCTTTTGTCTCACTTGAACCACGAACCTTTTCCAAGAGCTGCTGTTCTGTTGTGCAATTTTTGGAATATCATAAACTTAGGCTTTACTTGCTGAATTGTTCTTCACGGTGGGACTGCTGTTTTATAGGGCTTTAATAGAGCAGCAGCTATTTGGACGGATGGGCTTTTATGTTTGGAGATGCAGACCAGAATAACTTGGTCTGTGCTTACAAACTGTCCTGTACTGCCTCACAAAACTGGCTGAATTGCACGGTGCAGTATATGTCTCCGGTAGCACTGCACATCTAAATGTTCCTAGGGTAGCAAGTTTCGGGCCGAGTTTCGGGCCGAGCGGTCAGCGTGCATCAGACACGGAGGCGCACGGCGCACACCTGCGTGCCCAGCTGGAGTAGCTCCCAAGGAACTCGTCTATATCTAGCAAGGGCTGATGACCGCACTGTGGATTCCCTCAGCACGGTCCTGCTGGGGGGTGAGGCTTTCTAGGGCTAGCTCTTACGCTGCTGACGTGCTGCTCCTCTCACACGTGGCCAACCGGAGTAGCTCCCAAGGAACTCAATTATATATAGCAAGGGGTGCTGCCCACACTGTATACACCCTTACCACACTTGTAAATATTTTAAGTAGGCTGTGTGGGAACAGTTTTTAGCGTAGTGCTCATTGTTCACTGTTACTAGCTCATTACATTTTTTTCAAGTCTCTTGGTATTGGGTGTCTCTCTTCAGCCCTTCCCTAGGAAAGGGTGATGGGAAAGGGGACGAGGGGCCCCCTCCGCAGGCCCCACCAG